GGTCCATTTGTTTAGCACACTACTCATATCAGTATCATCCTAATCACATATTTAGTAAATAAATCCATGCTGGTGTTAGTCATACTTTGACATCTTATAAATACAGAACCTGTTAAATTAATAAATTAATTTTGTGATTAATTTTTTAAAATCAGGATAAAGTATGCTACATTTTAATTTGAGCATGACCTTCACTTGTCCTATTTTTGTTTCTTTGCAAAATAGCTGAGGTGTGGAAATGGATAGAAAAGATGAAAAGAGTGAAGCCAAAGGTATGTTTGTGTGTCATTTATTTACTGTATTTACTATTTACTTGCATATGTTATGATATACATTGAGTACAATTATGTGATTGTTATAAAGAGCTCCATTATTTTTTATCCTTTAAAAAAGAAATATATGTTTCATTAAAGTTTATTTACAAAGAAAAATGCAATAATTTAATAGGGTTTTAAGCAGTAATGTCCAGAAATTATACATCTGTCTGTAAGACCGCTGTAAATATGTAAACACACTTGGTGAAAATACATATGCTAAAAATAACATTGGGACTTTCAGAAGTAATTGCTTTCATTTTTCTTCAAGGCAAAGGAGGAAATAAACCTTTTCAGTCCGACAAACCAGAGGGCTTTTTACAAGTAGAAAGGTACGATACAAATTTATATGCATGACTTTAGAAAACCAAGATGATAAAGAACATCACAGACTTCATATCTGTAAAGTTTTGTACACTTTCTTTGTAGTTTCAAATCTTGCTCTTTGTAAACATTTGTAACATTTACTAAACTTGTGTTTTGCAAACATCTGTAAAGTACGGAAGTTCTAAGCGGCCATGCATGATTTTTTTTCCCCTTCCTTTCTCGTTATAACGACTTATTTTCTCGTTATATTGACATAACGAGAGTTGTTTTCTCGTTATAACGACTTAATTTTCTCGTTATATCGACATAACGAGAGTTGTTTTCTCGTTATAACGACTTAACGAGAAAATAAGTCGTTATAACGAGAAAACAACTCTCGATATGTCGATATATAATGAGAAAATAAGTCGTTATAACGAGAAAACAAGAAGGCAAAAAAAAAATAATGCATGGCCGCTTAGAACTTCCGTAGTAAAGTGTCATAATGCTGTTAAAGTCTTGTTTTGCAAACATCTGTAAAGTGTCATAAACTTGAGTTTCAGCTGTTAAGCTCTATAGCTTGTTGTTTTAGTAAGCATCTGTTTAATACATTTGATTCGTAAACATCTGTAAAATTTAGCTGTGTTATGTTTTGTAAACATCTAAAAAATGGTATAGTGTTATAAACTTACGTTTCTTCTGTTAAGTTCTGGAACTGTTTTAGTAAATGTCTGTAAAGTTTCATAAACTTGTTTCATAAATGCTGCTCCATCTGAAAGCATGTGATGGAGATTTACTACTAATCACAGAACCGACATGGCATTCGATTATTTGCACAGCCCTACTTGTGTTTTGTAAACATCTGTAAAGTGTCATAAACTTAAGTATGCTAAAATGTTTTGTTTATGAAACAAGTTTACGAAACTTTACAGTCATTTACTAAAAACAAGTTACAAAATTTAACAGATGAAACTCAAGTTTTTGACACTTTACAGATGTTTTCAAAACATGAGTTTCATCTGTGAAGTTCTTGTGACTTATTGTTTTAGGAAACGTCTGCAAAGTTTCATGAATGTCAAATTTAACAAACATTTGTTTTGTAAGCATCTGTAAATGTTTCATCTGTAAAGAGTTTCATCTGTTAAGGTCTGTGACTTGTTTTAGTAAACATCTGTAAGCTTTCTATAATGTTTCATAAACATCCGTTAAGTTTGTCTTTAACTTGTAATAATGTTGTGTAAAACTGAGTTTTCTGACTTCTGACTATCCAGAACACTGAATTTCCATCTCCTACCCAAGACTGTAAAGAGAAGAGTTTATGCCCTGAAGAGGCTCCAGCTCCAGAGCGCCAACATAGAGGCCAAGTTCTATGAAGAAGTCCATGAGCTCGAGAGGAAGTATGCTGGCCTCTACCAGCCCATCTTTGAGAAGGTATGCAAAGGACTCTCTGTAATACCAGGCGTTCTGTTTAAACACGCTCCGTGTTAGGTCGGAGCTGGTCCACTGAGGTAATTAACCCCTCACAAACCTGAAACGCTTTCTCCAGCATGAAAGTTTACCGTGTCCGGAACGACAAACGGACATGTAATGGTTATACACTGGGACCTCCACAGAACCAGTCACAAGGGTCCATTTTGTGAAATTGAGATTTATAAATCATCTGAAAGCTGAATAAAATAAGCTTTCCATTGATGTATGGTTTGTTAGGATAGGACAATATTTGGTTCGAGATACAACTATTTGAAAATCTGGAATCTGAGGGTGCAAAAAAATCTAAATACTGAGAAAATCGCCTTTAAAGTTGTTCGAATTAAGTTCTTAGCAAAGCATATTACTAATCAAAAATTAAGTTTTGATATTTTTGCGGTAGGAAATTCTTCATGGAACATGATCTTTATTTAATATCCTAATGATTTTTGGCATAAAAGAAAAATCGATCATTTTGACCCATATAAATCCGTGTATCATTCGATTATTCGTTTTTTTATTCAATATTGAAAGTAGAAAAATGAGAAAACAGCTCCTTTTTCGTTTTTTTCCTAAAAACGAAAAACGAGAATTCAGCTTAAATTTTCGTTTTTCGTTCGTGGGTGGAAAAATTAATAAACAGCATGAATATTCGATTTCTACACATTTCTACTGATTGGTCAACTGAAGATCAAACCGTGCCGTCATCAGTTCTTCCGCAGTCAAGTCAAGTCACCTTTATTCCTTTATTTATTTTAACAATACAGATTCATGCAGCAGAATAATAGTCCTCCACTGCTGCAGTTGTATGGATTCTTAACACCTTAACACATTCTACATTTAATCTTTTTTCATCAAACAAACAGGCTAATGAATAGCTCGACATAACTCGTAAGAGTCTAGACAGGGCTTTCTTCTGTGTAGATATAAATTCTATTCTTTGCATCAGCTGGGCATGGCAGTGTATGAAATGACAGCTGTCATAGCCTACCCTGCTCACCCAGTAAGTCTGTTTGTTTAATTAAGAAATTAATTAATTTGTTTCAAAATAAATATTTTAAACACTAAGAAAGAAAGGAAAGAATAATAAATTGGCTTGGGTATATATAGGCCTATGTTGCAAGAACTGTCATTTTGACTGACAACCAGAGAACAACTGATATTAGCCTACTGTTAGTTATATAATGTAGTCTTGTGTTTTATTAAAATTGATTATAATTGATATCTCAAAAGGATATGCACTTGTGCGCAGCGTGAGCTGCAACGCAAGATTTTCATAAAATATAATAACTTTCCATTTCGTTTTTTTCTCACCAAACCCTCAGTATAAATTCAGAATGCTTGGAATATATGCCACGAGATGCATAAGATTATTTATGACAGATATGTATCCGCTTAAAAAAAAAAAAACTAAAGTCACCATTCTCTGCCATTAAATTGGCAAGCCCGAGCAGGACATTGCGATGTTGCGAAATTGCGATGGGTTAAATAAACTCAATAAGCAGACAGACGCGACTACAGTCAAGCGCAGACCAGTATTGAAGTGCACAGGAAATAAGCAGGAGTCATATTTAAAGCAGTTTAAATTAATATTGAGTACTGATTGATGTTCACCTGGATTTTTCCCCCATCGAGGGAACTTAATACTCTGTCATTAGACGAGCTATTCATTTAGTCTGCTTGTTGAGAAAAATATGAAATTGATAAAATGGGTTATTAATCCGTACAACTGCAGCAGCGGAGGACTATTATTCTGCTGCATGATACTGCAGAAGAACTGATGACGGCACGGTTTGATCTTCGACTGACCAATCAGCAGAAAGGGGCGTTTAATTCCCGCCCACATGTAGAAATCAAATATTCAAACTGTTTATTCATTTTTCCACCCATGAACGAAAAACGAAAATTTAAGCTGAATTCTCGTTTTTCGTTTTTTGGAAAAAAACGAAAAAACGAAAAAGGGCCAGTTTTCAAATTTTTCTACTTTCAATATTAAATCAAAAAACGAATGATCGAATGATACACGGATTCATACAATGTATTGTTGGCTATTGCTGCAAATATACCCCTGCGACTTAAGACTGCTTTTGTGCTGCAGGGTCACATATGAGTGCTAAAGTCAGTCCAACAGAATGAATGACCAACTGCTCTCATTCAAAACTGGCAATTTCCTTGTCTGGAGACAAGCTAGTAGTTCAACTTTTACCCAGAATGCAAATAAAGGGAATCCAGCCTTCTTGTTACAGGCCTGTCCAAAGAGAATTAATTGCTTTGGTTTTGTGTTGCACACTTGTTTACGAAATGAATGCTATAAGTGTTTTGCCCTTGAAATGATGATGTCATGCATATGAAATGATGATGTCACAGCACAATGCTCCTTTGTTCAGAGACGGGACATTGTGGCTGGCGCCGTTGAACCCACAGAGGAGGAATGCGAGTGGCAAAGTGACAGGGAGGAAGAGGATCTTGCTGTAAGTGGATGCTTGTGAGAATACTGAAAAAATTTATCATATCAATTGCAAATTTCAATTTTCAAGCATTCTGCTTTCTTGGCAAGGCTTTTTTCTTTTCTTTTTTTGCTGGAAGCCCTGAGCTATTGAAAAGCCCAGTTGGAGGATGAAATGATAATGGTCTGTTTAACAAAATGATTTTCACGCACAGGAAGATTTGCAGAAAAAAGCTGCTCTGGAGGAGAAGCAGGCAGATTCAGCCGGCGCCGATGATCCGAAAGGAATCCCGGAGTTCTGGCTCACCATCTTCAAACGTGTGGATATGCTGGAAGAAATGCTGCAGGTCGCATTACTTCTCCTTAATTAAAGGGGTCATCGGATGCCCATTTTCCACAAATTGATATGATTTTTAGGGTCTTATTGAAAATAGTTTGGTTCAAATTTCTCAATGGTAGTGTAAAACAGCACTGTTTTTGCCCTGTCAAAAACAGCTCTTTCAGAGCATGCTATTTATTGCATTCCGCTTTAAATGCAAATAAGCTCTGCTCGCCCCGCCCCTCTCTTCCGAACTGCTCTCTGAGAGATGGTAAACTTTAGCCGCATTCATCGTGAAACTTGCTAATTAGCACATTATTAGGAAAGGCAATTTGCAAAGATTCATTAAAAAACCTTACACTCACTTCTGGTGGTGAAGCTGTATCATGAATGATTTGCGCAAACATAAATGCATTTATGTAGATCGGGGGCAAACGTAATCCACTGCATCTTCAGCGGCTCAGATGTCGGGAGTAAATGACGACTGCTTTGTTCATTATTACATCCAACAACAGAACACCTCGATCGCTTAGGAGTCATTCTTGTCTACATCTGCTCTGCGGTGAAACAATGGCGGACTGATTCGCAAAAAACATTTGCAAGAAACGTGTTTATATTGCAGTCAGATTAACATTTTGGACCTGTCTTTCTAAGCACCCTGTTTTTAGATTTGGAGTCATTTTCTGTTTTTTTTTCTTTAGTTAAATTTAATTATGATAGAAAGGTGATAAAATATTGGATAATTTGGTTTTCATTACAATTTTAAATAGAAATTAACAGTAATTTTGTGAAATGATAAAGCAAAAAGCCTTGCATTACAGTTAATTTTCTTTGCTTTAGGGCTGTTTATGCACAACGAGCCATTGGGCAATAATAATTATAATAATAAATAAATAAAAAATTATTTTCATTGATATTATTATTATACATTTGTTTTCTAATTTGGTGTTTAATTATATAAATAATAAAACTGTAACCTTGCGTTATAATGAATTTGCTATGGTTTATGGCTGTTATTATGCACAAAAATGAACCATTGGCCAATAATAATAAATTATTATAAAAGTTTTTTGCATTTTTGCCTTTATTTTGATGGGATAGTAGAGTAATGACAGGAAGCGAAGTGGCAGAGAGAGAGCGGGGAAAGGTCCACGAGCCGGGACTCGAACTCGGGACACCCGCAACAGCGCTTTATGTCGGCGTGCTGCCCACAAGGCTATCGGCACCAACATTATTATTTTTGATAGAAATAATAACTAGTGGTTAAACGGATCGTAGTTGATCCGTGGTCCATATGGACCAAGCCCCACGGTTCGGCACGCATGTGATCCGTGAATTAATTGCAGAATTTTACCATAATAGAGTATAAGTTTATCATTTGTTTGTATTTACACAAGCAAGCGAATTTTAAACAATTCCAGAGAGAAAAGGCGAAAGGAAACTCGATTAGTTACTCGCACGCTGTTCTGTTCTCTACGCGCACACACACACACGAAGCGCACGAACACCAAACTGAATCCTCTTCTGAATCCTCTGAACAGACACATACACATAAAATTATGACAAAATACCCATCTCGACAATCATTCAGTTAAACAGTCAGTTATGTCTCAAGTGAATGAAAACAGCTGAGAAAGAAATCGGATGTGATGTGTATCATTCTATCAGATCGGTGCATCAGGTCTTAAAGGGACAGCGGCCTATAAATACTGCTGCTGTCGTTAATGATCATCAAACAACAAAACAGCTGTGATGAAAAAAATCTATATTTCATTTATACATTATTTTCCCTAATTATTACATTTATGCATTTGAAAACTACCAACCTTATTTTGTTTGTAACATATTCTGTTGTATTTATCTATGCTTGTAATTTGTGCATTTGTTCTTATTTTTACTGGCTGTTCTCTTGTCTCTTTAATCATGTTTCAACTTTCTTAGTTAATCTAGTAGTATTTGCTGTGGTATCAAAGACGTACTTCGATTTAAGTAATAAATGGAAAGCAAGTTAAATGGAAATATTTTTCTTTTCTTGCTGATCCGAAAAATGATCCGATCCGTGGGTCAAAAACCGTAATGTGATCCGAACCGTGAGATTTGTGATCCGTTGAACCACTAATAATAACAACCTCAACTTTGGGTTTTAATTAGAATTTTAAATAGAATATTACAATTTACCTCCATTAAAATAGAGTATAGTGCTGATATGCACAACACGAACCACTGGCATAAAATAAAATTAATTTAAATAAAATAAATAAATAGGGTTTTAATTAGAATTTAAAATAGAATTTAACAGTAATTTGGTAAAATAATGAGTCAATATTTACAGTGAATAATTATAGTAATTACACTGAATTTAAATGAATTTTACACTGAAAAGTATAAGTATATATAAGTATAAACGCATTGCATAAAACATTATAGAAAGTGACTGCTTTGACCTGTTGCATAAAGAATTGATGTGGATTACACAGGATGTGGTTCTTGTGACAGGAAGCTTATAGAGGATATGCAATGTTGTATTGGTGCATGCAGAATTCACATGCAATCTGATCATATCGTCCTTTAATGTATAATTTTCTTGAAATTTATTTTGTATACATAAGTGATCAGTAGGTCGGCATCCTCGGGAGTTCATCAACTGATTTCTCTGTGGATTCTCTCAGCTCTGCTTTACCTTATAAATCCATTTCGCAGAATGCATTTCCCCTGAAAACTTTCCCCAGTGCCGAAAACATAAAGTTGAATCCATGCTGCCTTGGTTTAACCATTGTGGGGTCTTTTTGTTTCCTGTAGGAGCATGATGAGCCAATCCTGAAACACCTGCAGGACATCACTGTGAAGTTTTCTGAGCCTGCACAGCCCATGGTTTGTCAAACAGCTAAACAAGCTTCTGTTTACTTCTGACGTTTTTTTAACAAATAGATACAGGTTTTTAATACTGCTCAATTGTTTGTCAAAACAGAGTTTCACATTAGAGTTCTACTTCGAGCCCAACAGCTACTTCAGTAACACGGTCCTCACTAAAGTCTACAAGATGAAATCAGAGCCGGACACAGCAGATCCATTCTCATTCGAGGGGCCGGAGATCATAGACTGTGAAGGGTAAGATGGAGAAATGGCGTACTGTATGTATATATATTTCTGTCAGGACCACTATCGTCAAAGATGATTGATAATTAGCATACAGTTTGGATTGGCGGTATGGTTCTGTTCTGGGCAAGAACTCCCTGCGCATCCATGCAGCCTAGCATGGATGAGAGCAGGGAGAGCAGCGATAACCCCCCAGGGTAAACACAACAGAAACAACATAAATGTATTGCAGATATCATTAAAGTTCAATAATTTAATGTACACATTTTAGAATTAGTCTGATTCAAAGGAGAATCAGAAGGCTGAATCCTGACTGACAGAGGAGGAGCTGGGGATGGAGGAGGGTAATTAGCTATTGAGCAATGCGAAAACTGCTGATACTACTGAGGGACCTTATATATGAATGCTTAGCTGATGCGAGCTTGACTAACGTGACCTGCCAGAACTAACGCTTACGCTTGATATATATATATATATATATATACGGTAAAAAGGTTGGACTAATTAAGATATTTTAGTCTTTTTGAAAGAACGTGCAACACGCCTGCATTTATTAGATCAGAAACTAGTTAAATATGATTAGGGTTTCAAATAAGTGTTTTCTATTTGAATATGTTAAACCGCAATTTATTCCTGAGATGTAAAGCTGAATTTTCAGCATCATTACTCATTTCTGATTATTATCAATGTTGAAAACAGTTGTGCTGCTTAATATTTTTCGTATAGTGTCACATAGTAATTTTCTCAAAAATCTAGTTAGTTGTCAAAAATGAGTCGTGCTTCATAATTCATTGCTGATGTATTTTAGTGAAGACAACGTTTGCTAGTGGAACTGTCAAAAATGTATAGGTTTGCATGTGTATGCACAAATATGTTTTCACCAAAGAAAGAAAATGGGAAACTCAGGAAGTGACAGAGGAGAACAAATAAGGGTCAATCACCTGCGTTGTGATTGGCTGATTTTAGAAGGAGTGTGGTTAAAGAACTCTGAATAGAAGGTGTAAAATCATAATTGAAATCTTTTGTAACGTTATACATTACCGTTCAAAAGTACTATTTATTTGTTTTTTTGAAAGAAATTAGTACTTTTTATTAGGCAAAGATATGTTAAATTGATCAAAAGTGATAGTAGAGACTAAAATCGTTACAAAAGTTTTCTATTTTGAATAAATGCTGTTCTTTTTAACTTTTTATTCATCAAAGAATCCTAAAAAAAGGTATCACATGTTCCAAAAAATATTAAGCAGCACAATTGTTTTCAACATTAATAATAATAGTGCCGCATATCAGAATGATTTCTGAAGGATCATGTGACACTGAAGACTGGAGTAATGATGCTGAAAATTCAGCTTTTCATCACAGGAATAAATTACATTTTAAAATATATTAAAATAAAAAAAAAAATTTTTTTTTAAATGGCAATAATTTTTCACAATATTACTGATTTTACTGTATTTTTGATCAAATAAATGAACATAAAGAGACGTCTTTCAAGAACATTTAAAATCTTACTGATCCCAAACTTTTGAACAGTAGTGTTCGTAAATGAAAAAGCTAAGATTTCTGAAATTATACTAATTAACTGAATGTGTTTTTAATACACAAAAAAACTGGTTTACTGTTCAACAGCCATTCATACTTTTTAATTGAATGCATTAGTTTTTTTTTTCACAAACACATACTGTAGCTCAATCCTCCTCTGCGAGTTTAGAAAACACGTCACCAACAAGAAACATCTAAAGAGTTCCTGCGTCAGCTACAGCTTAAAAAAACACAAGCACAATCATTGCACAATGGCTTCTCAGTTAGTGCTCGATTACATCTCTAGGTCACAATATTGAAAGTGTGGCATTAGTATGACTACAGTAGATGCTATTTTCAGTCCTGGAATAATTGAGTTTTTCATTCAATAATTTACTCTATAAACTTCCATTGGATGCTCATTGTGTCTGTTTGTGTCCAGGATGAAGACTTGGACTTCACTCTAGGTACAGATTTTGAGATCGGACACTTCTTCCGAGAGAGGGTCATTCCCAAAGCGGTGCTTTATTTCACTGGAGAGGCCTTAGAGGACGACGAGAGTGTACGTCGGCTGTTTTTACTGTTACTATCACAAGGAAATCTAGGACTGATTATAGATAAAAAAAAAAAAAGAATTTAATATACATTTTGATGTATGTATGCTATACATTGGCTTAAATTGTAATAAAAGAGTTATTATTTAATTGGATTTCATTTTGTGTTAAGACTCCTGGAACTGGTCACTTTTTAATAGATTTTTTTTTTTAAATGGACAAAAGGAGCATTGCAATCTGTGTGTGATGTTGTTTAAGTTTATTTTGGCACCAAAATAATATTGTAAATATTTAATGTATCACCCAGACCCTCTGTAAAATAAACTATTACTTTTATTTTATAATGTATATGTAATTCTATGCTGTTTTGCAGTATGAAGAGGAGGATCTTGAAGAGGGAGAGGAGGAGGTGAGAATCCTTTAATAGACACATTTACCCTTTAATAATAGTCCAAATTTATGGGCAATTGCAGTGTAACAGCAGATTATTATGTGTCATTCAGGATCTGGATGACGAAGGTGAAGAAGAGGATGAGGGAGATTGTGATCACACGGTGAGTATTTAAATAATCTGTTTGTCTAGTATGCACTATCAGCTATCATTATTAAAAAAGCAAAAAGCAGCATGTAATTAGCTGGGGTTATACATTTTTTTATATTTTAATCACATTTATCTCAAATTTGAGAATTCTACTGGGATTGTAGATTGTTTTTTAAATAAAATACTGGCATGCTAGTAGATACTGTGTGCTGCTTGCTATTTTTTCAATATACTTGTATGAAACTGTATAAAATATGCAGTAACACATTAGTAAGTCACGCACGACTTACTGGTTACTGTGTATTTTATGTACAATTTTATGTAAATAGGTCTCAACTTTTGGCATTTGGCAGAAATTTCAGTACATTGCATTCTGGGATACAATATTCCCACTGTGTGCTCAGTTGTATACTGCATACTGCAAAGTAGTAGTTGTAGTATTGTATTCCAAACATAGTCAAGCATTACCTTGTATAGTACTTCATGATCAGCTGCATGCCTGATGTGTAAACCTGTGTGTTTGTCCCTCCACTTCCCCTTTACAGGCATAATTCATTTCTCACTTCATGCATTTCTAGGTAAGAGACACCTGAAGGGATGTGGTGCTATTTCCAATCTATCTTTTGATCCATCTTCCCTTCATTGTTATAGCTTTCACTCTTATGTCACTTTCACATGAAAAGTTTGTGTGCGGACTGTTAAGTTTTGCTTGAAAACGGTGGATTTTGTTTCATGTGAACGCGGTGAAACTATGTAACTACTATTAATTACGTATAATTTGCATTTTTTGTTCACATATAGATGCTAAACACTTATGATGGTAAAAGTATTTTGCAAACGTACCGTGGTTTGAAATAACAATGTTGATATTATCAATATTGAAAACAGTTGTGCTGCCTAATATCTTTGATCAATAGAAAGCTCAAAACAACAGTTTAATTGAGATTTTATGCATATATATAAAGTTGCAAATAGATTGTTCGCAAATAGATGCTAATCACTTTGATGGTGAAAGTATTTTGCAAACATACTGTGGTTTAAAACAACTTGGAAAAAGTGAAAATATATCAGCCAGAAGTACGCAACTATTATTAGTTACGTATTATTTCCATTTTTATTCATAAATAGATGCTTATTGAAAATAGTAATAAAAATAAATGTATTTGAAGTGAAATAAATGCTTTCTTCAATGATGAATACATAAAGTAATTTATCATTGCCGAACATCAACAATACCTGCCATCTGAACTTAGATGGCAGGTGCTCAATACTACTAGAGAGTGTTTACTATGGTGAAAGTGTTTTGCAACCGAACCGCAGTTGGAAACGATCCTATAAGTGTGAAAGCAGATCAGCCAGAAGGATGCAACAGTCGAATTTGGAATTGGACAAGCAAACGACTGAAAGTGTGAAAATGACATTTAAGACTAAACTTCTCAACTCCCACTCACTAAATTAACCTTATAGGTGAAGTGTGTAATTTTAATGTCAAAATACATATTAAGTGGTCAGACAGTAAAAATGCCATTTATTTTCTCCATGGGAAAATTGATATTTACCGATAACCGTTTTTTTTTTTACAGATTTTTCCAATTTTGTTGAATCCATCGGTTTACATTATTGCAACTCATGTTTTAAATAATAGTGTTTAACAGTGAAAAGTACATTACTCATGATGCTGTACAGAAAATTCCACCAACTAGAGACTCTCAATGAGAAGATCGCGCCAAACAGGCGCTGAGCTCCGCCCACTCCCATGAAGCACCTCAAATAACGTAATCACACAAGACATAAATATTTAAATATATGTATATATATATATGCATATTTTGCAGTAAACTTAAAATTAGGGCTGCCCCCTAATAGTCGACTAACCGTTTGTCGACGAAAAGAGGCTTAGGGTGTACTCGCACTATGCGATCTGAACCGTGCCCGAGTGCCTTTGACCTCTAAAGCAAATAGATTGTTCGCAAATAGATGCTAATCACTTTGATGGTGAAAGTATTTTGCAAACATACTGTGGTTTAAAACAACTTGGAGAAAGTGAAAATATATCAGCCAGAAGTACGCAACTATTATTAGTTACGTATTATTTCCATTTTTATTCATAAATAGATGCTTATTGAAAATAGTAATAAAAATAAATGTATTTGAAGTGAAATAAATGCTTTCTTCAATGATGAATACATAAAGTAATTTATCATTGCCGAAC